TGATTATTGTTATTGTTGTTGCCTTTTCCTTGATTATTGTTATTGTTGTTGCCTTTTCCTTGATTATTGTTATTGTTGTTGCCTTTTCCTTGATTATTGTTATTGTTATTGCCTTTTCCTTGATTATTGTTATTGTTATTACCATTACCTCCGGAAACAGTAACTCTGATACAATCATCTTGAGCACCACGCTGAGCAACAGGCATAATAACAGGTTGATGACTTTCCGAACTAGCCATAGTACAAATTCTATAATTACCAGCTGGCAAGCCTTTTTCGACATTAACAGATAAATCTCCGTTACCATTAGCAGGATCATTCAAACCTTTGAAAAAGGCAAATACGTTCGGATCAGGAGGATTATTACCATTCAATTGTTGGATGGTAATATGACTATGACCATTAATTTGTCCATTATTACCGAGGGATTGTGATTTTACATAATATTGTTTAGCTGGATCAGAGAAAAAGCCGGTATTGAGATTGGATACTCTTGCTGTAACAGTAAATGCTTGATTTTCACCAATATTGGCACCATTTTGTGGATTTGTAATCACAGTGGAGACCATTCTGCCTTTTGCAGGAGTCTCGCCCAATGCTGTTGCGAAACAAGCACCATTTGGATTTTGAGTACCGTCACCGGGTTGCAGATTAGAGCCCTTGCAAGTATTTCCATTGACAGCGGCATGGGTCGAAGTCGTAAAGAACCATAACACGGAAATAAATAGGGTGATAAATCTGATTTTTAATTCCATTATTTCTATTATTAATTTTTATATATATATATTTTTTTTTATTCTTTTTCTGAGGGATATAATTCAAGTAATATCCTATATACAAAGTTTCGTGTAATAGTGATGATAAAAAAGTTTGAATTATTTTTTTCTTTGTTGCTACAAACCTACGTGAAAAAAATTGCACCAGGCAAAATATCCCGCGGAAAAAGTATTTTTAGATAAAAAAGAACGAGAAAAATCAATCAATGATTTATCAAGTTGGGTCAACAACTAATGGAGGAGAAGAAATTGTTTCTTAAGAAACCAAGGCTGGTTTCAGCAATATTTATATGTTTTGGAGCATTATTAAAAAACAATTTGATTAATCATAGAAATTGTAATACTTTAGAGTCCTTTTTTAGAACACGTGGGTTCTTACATTTACATAACACTAACGCTAATTTTTTTCTTTTTGGTAGTAATATACGTATGTGGGCATATCAAACATCAAGGGGAAAATTAATAGGAAATTTATGTTGTGTAACAGATGCAGATAATTGATCAGTTGCCTTAGTGCGAAAGTGGAATTATCTTTTAATTACTAATAACATGATAAACGGTAATAGGATTTACTATACAATATAGATTTCCACTAAATTAAATATTGTTTCGAAAATCGAGAAAATCGAAAAATTAGTATCTGAAATTTAATATGCTATTGACAGGGAAGAGAAAAAAGACGAGATTCAAGATATTTAACATATACATATAATTCTTTAATTATTAATTTTAGGTTATTGAACTAAACCGGGAAAAAAAACAAAGGAAATATTATTAAAATTTCAATTTACCGTAATCCAAAAAAAATGCTAATTATCATAATAACCCAAACAAATTGTCGAATTTAAAGTAGGTCAATGGTCAATTAAACAAGTGTATCACACAATGATTGTACACAAGTGCGTGTTTCATAAGTAACTATATATCTTTATGGTTAGTTGGAATATAATGTAATCGTTAGTGTTATAGTTTGTAGTTAGTGTTATATAATGTTAATGTTATATAATATTATAGTTAATGTTATATAATATTATAGTTAATGTTTATAGTGTTATAGTTAATGTTATATAGTGTTAGACATAACGATTAAGATCACATTATCACTTGGCAGGTTTCAAATTTCGTGCACTAAAACTAAATAAAGCCTACAAAATATTTGAATATTTAAATATTTAGTCGTTTCTTTGTTTCAAAACTGGACACCTCAAAACATAATAATCAATACTTTAATAGGTAATAAGTAGTAGTATTTTCTTTGTAACCCCTATGCATATTCCGTCACTGTAGTCGAACAGAGTGCTTTCTCTAACGTTAAAATCCTAACTAAAATGTACAGTACACATGTACATATTTTTTGCCAAGATGCCAAGATAATAAATATACAAAATAGTACGAGTCCTTAAAAACAATTATAATTTCTTATTAAGGGGTTTTATTAAAACATAACTTAGAAACGCATATGCGTGGATCGTATTATGTAACTAACTTAAAATTGTTAGTGTTTATGTATGAAAAATTCCCAAGTCCGAAATATGTCGTTTGAAGTATTATTATGCAAAGATACTGTTATGCTGTGATACAACGCTATAACTAATGTTAATGATCAGATAAGAAAACCAAGAGAAACTACATTCCCTGTTATTTTTTTTGTCAAATTATTTAAATGCATTTGTTTTTTCCTGATTTATTAGAAATAACAATTTGCTAAGTTAAATGCTAGTTGCTAAGTTAAATGCTAGTATTTATCATGAAAATACAAGTTTTTTTTTTTCAACTTACGATTGGTTATAAAATTACCAAATAGGATTGAGAGAAGGAGCACGGAACAAATATTTGATTTTTTAATGTTACATAAGGACTTTCCATTACTGTACCCTGTAAATTAGCGCTAAGCCAATAAAGGTAAATATGGTTGTCGGGGCGTACGGGTACCAATTCAGAATTCGGAACAGATAAACTTGTTACCTTTGCGTTTTATTGAGATCTCGATACCATATCGGGATAGTGGTTTTGGTTTATGTATTCGATTTCGATACAATGTTAATATTACTGCTGTTTAGGTTCAAGTCATGCATTCATGTGATAGCGAACAATTTCTTCTACTCAAAGTAAGTTTTACGATGCAAGTTTTCGAGTTAATATTTTTAACATAGTTCAACCTTTTTCTTTTTTTTTTTTTACTAAAAACATCAAACAAAATCACTATAAGCCATCTCTTGTTTTCTTCATTTGGTCAATCTCTTAAACAATCAAGCATTAGAAGAACAATGATCATCACGTCAATAAGCGTCTAATTAATGCTGCATGTATTTAGGTATATATGAATTTCTCTTTTTCTTTTTTTGATACCAACAATATCCCGTGGAGAAGAGTGGTTAAGTTTCATTGTTTTTGAACGAGACGTCTTTCGCTTGGCGAATTACGTTCTCACTTTCCTTTGTATGGCATAAAGCCAATATCCCTAATTACCAACAATTAATTACATATTACATCCCTTAACCAATATAAATCATGAGCGATAAATTATTAATTAAAATTTTCATTAATATATTTGTAATTACATATTTTATTCATTTACTTCAAGCTCAATATGTAATAGATCCAAACGCAAACAATTTAACAGTTTTATGCGCGCAATCTATTTCATCTGCAGCAGATGACAAATCCTTAAACAACTGCCTTCCAATGAAGTCCTTGGAATTGAGCTTACCATTACTCCTCAGTAAATCTTCAAATAACCCATCAAGCAAGCTAAATGTTCTCTCACAGCTCGTAAAAAATACATGCGCACTAAAACCATGTTCAAATGATGTAATCCAACAAATACTTCAAACGTTAAAATCTCAATGCTCTCAAGAACTTGAGTCAAAAAATATAATAATCACAACCATCTTTGGGTTGTTTAGGTATTATAGTTTAGTTAGAGATATTACATGTTTAAGAGATTCTGCGAACAAATACAATTCATTCTGCGTTTTGGAGTCTCTAGTAAATATCGGTAATGCTCTCAACAACACATCGTCAACTCCCAACAATGTTAGTAGACGTTCTCCAGATAATATTGTTGCTAAACGTTGTGTAAAAAAAACAAATAGCGATGACACGGACATAAGGGACATAAATGGACCAACCGTGATCACTACTCAGATTTCTTTTTCAAAAGTGTCAATCATTCCTACGTCTACCGTATCGGAAATCACCAGAAATTCGAAAACGAAGAGTATCGCTGTATCTACCGCTTTGGTCACAACCAGTAATGCTATTAATACTATGAGTTCATTTACTCCTATTCCGATTCCACAAAGTACCTTCAGTGCTCCACAAAGTTCCTCCAATACTACTTGTCCACCTGATATGTCGCTAATGCCAGCTATGAAACCACTTTTAAATTTGTCAAATCAAGTGATTTGTACCGATTGTAATAAGGTATATTAATATTATTTTTTCCTTATATTTTTATTATCGACATGTGTATTGATTGTTATTCTTTTTATTATCGACATGCGTATTGATTGCTATTATTTTTATTCTGAAGGCAATTTTCACAAAGATCCTTTTGTATATGAAAAAAGATCCAACGGTATTCAATTGCACACCATTTGGGCCAGTAGTTTCAATGGCTCCTGAATTTTTCTCTCAAAAATGTGACCCTCAATTCCTTGATCAAAATATTCCAAGTAGCATTTCTAGTGCAACCTCAATTTTGAAACATGTTAGTTTTCATGGATTACTAAGCATTTGGTTGTTTATCTATTTGGTTTGGTAATTGCATGATTTAGTATCGTTTTTGTTAGTGGAAATGTTCTTTTATTAGATGGAACTTTTATTTTCTTACGGAAAATATGTCCTACTTACAGCATCTTGCAATATAGATTAAGATCACTTATTTAATACATATTTAATTTTAGTAATAATTTTGTAATTACCCATATAAAACTGGTGGTTATACAATAGAAGAGTTATTACATAGCGTTTTCCTTATACATTAAGAGTTTTTATGTAGCGTCTGCCAGTGTGAATCTATTGTTCAACTCTGAACTTATAAGTACTCATTATTGGTCATGTTGTTGATGATAACTGATTATTCACTAAAATGTTGAGATATAACGGTGGTCCTTGGTCACTATTATGACGTAACCTCTGTGAGCAGTGTTTAAAATTCAAATTTAAATTAATGTTCTCAAAAGAGCTTAATTTAAATTTTTAATGTTCTCAAAAAATTTTTAATGTTCACTATAGTGCTTTTAAAGAGTTGTAATAATTCTGATAACTCAAATTAAAAACCAACTCTTTGCCTACTCGAGTCAAATTATAATTATTGTAGTATTACTTCATTTTATAAAATAATTCTATAATAATAGAATTATACAGTATATAATACAAATTTATAGATATCAAAATCAACCAATTTGGGTTCAGGTCAACCCTAAACTCGAATTGGATAACCCTTTGGAAATTACATTGAATATTTTTTTTGAGAACATTTTGAAAGATTAATATGTTCTCAAATAAGAGAACTTTATTTTAAATATAAATGTTCTTAAAA